GCAGTTTCACCGCTGTCGGAGGATGCCCCTGAGTCGCCACAGACGCACTGTATCTGCCGGCTCCCCTTGGAGACGTCCACTCCAACCTCTGCGTGCCCCTGGGGGTCCGGACGACAGTTGGGCAGTTTCACCGCTGAAGTCGGAGGATGCCCCTGAGTCGCCACGGACGCACTGTATCTGCTGGCTCTCCTTGGAGACGTCCACTCCAGCCTTCGTGCCCCTGGGGGCCCCGACGACAGTTGGGCAGTTTCACCGCTGAAGTCGGAGGATGCCCCCGAGTCGCCACAGTCAGGAGGGAAAAAACACACAGACACAATTAATCGTCGATCCCCCGGGAAAATATGGGAAAATATGGGAAGTGGGGGGGAAGACAAAAACACAGAAAATATGGGAAAATATAGGGAATCTTGCTATTTGTGTGTATTTATTTGTGTGTCCTGGGGCCCCTTCAGAGACGTCCACTCCAGCCTGCGTGCCCCCGGGGGACCAGTCCATAGGGCCTGGCGGCCCTCGAGGGATCGTGCCGGCGCGGCTCCGACCCGCGCGTTCTCGGCGCGGCCCATCATCGTTGCGAGAGTGGCGGGGGCGAGGACGTGGACATTCAGGAGGGGAAAAAACACACAGACACAATTGATCTTCGATCCCCCAGAAAATATGGAAAAATATTGGCATTGGGCGGAATGACAAAAACCCAGGAAATATACGAAAATATGGGGAATCCTTTTATTTGTGTGTATTGATTTGTGTGTCCTTGGGCCCCTTGAGACATGGAGGACGAGGACGAGGAGGAGGAAGCGGGAGGAGGGTTGTAGAGTCTAGAGGGTTTTGGGGGTGCTCTACCCGATTCGGAGGAGGAGGAGGAGGAGGAGGAGGAACAAGAAGAAGAGGCAAGGGTTTCGGATGGTTTCGGATTGGCGATGTTCGAAGATCATTGGAGGAGCTCGGAGGTGTCCGAGTTATCCTTCCCTTCCCCTCATCCCCTCCCGATCGCTTCCCCTCGTCAACCCCTTCCACGTACCCCTCCAATTCCCTTTTCCTTCCCCTTACTCTTCCGCTCACGCTCGACTTTTCGCATATCCCGCTCGTCTGCACAACGGCATTCCCCCCTCCTCCAGGCCCCATCTTCCCCTCCCGCTCCGTTTCTTCTCTTCGTCGCGCACCGCTCAACCTTCTCTTCGCAGCTTCGCCTTCCCCCCTTCACTCTCCCTTCTTCCCCTCCTACGAGCTACTCCCTTGCAATGAGGGAGGAGGCAGGAGTCCAGACGTCCCAAACGGGGTCCCAGTTTGATGGTGTCTGAGGATCGCGCCACATTGCCAACGCATCGGCAATGCGGCTCGACATGGATCCCGAGCCTCTTTTCACGCCGATGGCGCCCGTGCATCGGCAATGCGGCGCGATCCTCTGATCCCACCTGTTCGGCTCCCAAAAAGGCGCAAGCATAAACGTTCGCAGGTCCGCGCAGAGTTCTTGGATCGGCGCTGAACCCCTTTCCATAGCGCGCGTCGCGCGCAAGGGGCAGCGCCGGAGGCGCCGCCAGATGGCTCCAGCGCCGATCCAAGAAATCCGCGAGGATCTCCGGCAGTTTTTGGTGGTGGGTGGAATGGGGGGTGACCTCAGTGGGGGGGTGAAGGCGGAGGGGCTGGAAGAGGGAGGGAGGGCAGGGAAGGGAGGAGGGAGGTGGGCAGGGAAGCGAGGGCAGGGAAGGGAGGAGGGAGGAGGGAGGAGGGAGGGAGGGAGGAGGGAGGGCAGGGAAGGGAGGAGGGAGGAGGTCATCGACCCCCAGACGCCCACTCATCGCCGATCGGGGCCTGCGGATGCCCCACCCTTCCCAGGCACCTGCGGCTTCGCCCTCACGGGCCAATCGCCGATCTATCAGCAATGTCTCGCCCATTCGTGCTCGAAACGGATCGGGCTGACCGACAGCGCTATCGATGTTGTCCTTCCCTCCTCCTCCTCCTCCTCCTCCTCCTCCTCCTCCTCCTCCTCCGCCTCCGCCTCCGCCTCCGCCTCCTCCGCCGCCTCCTCCGCCTTCTTCTCCTCCTCCTCCTCCTCCTCCTCCTCCCCGGTCCCCTCCTCCTCCTCCTCCTCCTCCTCCCCTCCTCCTCCCCCCTCCTCCTCCTCCTCCTCCTCCTCCTCCTCCTCCTCCTCCTCCTCCTCCTCCTCCTCCTCCTCCTCCTCCTCCTCCTCCCCCCTCTCCCTGAGCTGACCCCCCATTCCGTTCCCCCTCGTGCGCGCTCCGCTCGAAGGAGACAGACATCGGCATGTAAGTAACAACGTTTGACGGTCCGCGTGGATTTGTTGCTGGGTCTGCGCTGGAGCTGATGTGGACAGCAGAAGTCACCAGGCGGAGGAGGAAGAGGAGGAGGAACAGGCGGATGAGGAGGAAGGAGGAGGAGGAGAAGGAGGAGGCGGAGGTGGAGTGAGACGCGGGGCGCTGTCTCTTCAGAGCGAGGACCCAATTCCACAGGATGATCGGGAATCAATGTTAGGAGCTACGTGCAGATCCGAGAAGTCTGTGCGGACTGTGAAATGTTTGTGCTTGGGTTTTTTGTTTCGCCCTCCATCAGCGAGTCTCTCGCCATCGTGCCGCTGCCGCGATGGCCGCGGCCGTCACCGTGGCGGGCCTGAGGGTGCGATGGCTACGGCTGTGCTGCGACTTGGGCGCTCCGGACGCTGCGGCGGCGCGGTGGTGGGGCACGCTGGAGGGCAGCTACGGCGCCGTGGCTGGGCGGCCGCCACTCCAGGGTCGATTCTTGTCCGATCGATCCGATTCGGTGTCGATTCTGGCATCGCCGCAAATCAACATGACTGTTGCTTCCTGACAATCCTGACTCGCGCCTGAACATAACTCCTGGTACTTCAACGCCGCGAATTAACGTGGTTGGTGCGCCCCGACAGTTTTACCTTGTGCAAGAAACCATTCATGGGATTTCAACCATACGAATCCTTGAAACGAATGCAAACTTGTGAGACGAGCGTGCGCGGCGCCAATGCGATAACCACATGTTGAAAGCCAGTCGCCCCCCATCTTTGAAACTGTCGAACACTGCAAGCTTCAGGGCCATACATGTTTAGGAAGTCTCGAAGTCTCTGGTAAGACACCGGGCGCGCCCCACCGACATGCCTGTGGGCGCGACGCAGGGGAGGCATTTGTAGGAAGAGAGATGGAGGAGGAGGAGGAGGAGGAGGAGGAGGAGGAGGAGGACGAGGAGGAGGAGGAGGAGGAGGACGGAGGTCCCGTGTCTTCTGGCAGTTTGAGCCTCAAACCGGCGACCCTGATACCCCGACTGGCCCTCGGGTCGGACGACCTGGGGGGGGAATGGGAAGAGGGGGGGGGGAACCCTACTGCACGCCACTCGCTTCGGCGCCCCCTTGGGCCCTTCTGCGCGAGGTACAGGCCTCGGCATCGCTCGGACGTGTGCATTTTTCCTTCGGCGAGGACTATCGAGGAGCATCCTTGATCATCTGGCGAACAAAAACCACGCACGAAACCAAACAAAAAAACACAGGGAATGGACGTCCGAGCGATGGCCAGAGGCCGAATCCCCCAATCACGAGCGACAGGACATCGCCTGGGCCCTCGGGGCCCAGGCCGCGGCCTCGGCGGCTGCGCCCCGGGCCCCCCCCCCGTGCCCCCCTCGGCCCCGGCGGGCGGCCAGCCGGCCACGGCCGCGGCGCGCCGAGCCGCGCCTACCACACGCTGGAGCACCTGTCCGAGATGTTCGGGTACATGTGGCGGCGCGCAGAGGGGGGCAGGGGGGAGGGGGGGCGGCTTCTTAGAAGCGCCCCTGCTTCTTAGAAGGCGCGGGCCTTCTCTAAATAGACGTGAGGCCGAGGCCTTCTGAGAAGCAGGGTGCTTCTAAGAAGCCTTCCCCCCTCCCCCTACGCCCTTTTGCGCGCCGCCAGGACATGGCGAGGAAGAGAAGCCGGCACAGAGCGTAGACCTTTGGGAGGCCCGCGCAGGCTTCTTCGGGGGCAACGATAGGGGGGGGACAGGCATAATGGGGGGATGCGTCGACCCCCAGTCGCCCACTGATCGCCGATGGGGGCCCGATAGCCCCAACCCGCCCGGAAAGGTGCGGACTCGCTATCGGGGGCATATCGCCGATCTATCGGCGATGGATCGTCGGTTCCAGGTCGATGCATCCCCCCCCTGTGCCATTCCACCCCTATCGTTGCCCCTCATTTCTCGGCCTTGCCTGCATATGGTCCGCTCGGGAGGGTCGCGCGAGGGTCCGACCAGCTCCGTCAAGAACGGGATTTGACCAGAGGCAGAAGCGGAGCGCTGCCCGGCCGGCGGAAGCGCTGCTGCTGCACTGCCGGGGCAGTGGGCCCCCTCTTTCCCGGCGCGCGAAGCGCTCGCCACCGGCGCCGCCAGGGGCGGCTCCCATCAGAAAAGAGAAACGCCATAGGCATTGACACAAATTGCTGGCGCGCCACACGGGGTTCTCGGATCCGCGCTGGCCCCCCCCCCGGCGGCGCTTCCGGCGCCGCCCCTGGCGCGCTCTGCGCGCCAGGGAGGTGTGCTCTTCTACTATTCCAGCGCCGATCCACGAGGTCCGCGCGGGCCTCTGCATGTGTCTGCTTCCCGCCGCTCTCTCCGTTCCTCCTGGCATGGACGAGCACGCGGCTGCGCTGTCCGATGCGCCCGCTGTGGGCCTGGCGATCTTCTTCCACGACGTGGTGTACGACGCCCGCGCCGGGAGCCCGAAGAACGAGGCGGACAGCGCGCGGGTCTTCGAGGAGTTCGCCCAGGAGGCGCTGCCCGCCGGCAGCCCGCCAGGGCGAGCAAAGGGCGAGCTGATTGAGAAGGTGTACCGCTGGATCGTGCAGACGGCGCATCACAAGTGCGGGCCAGCCGACGAGGATTGAAGGTGAAGCAGTTGCATGAACGTATTCAGGAGGGGAAAAATCACACAGACACAATTTATCGTCAATCTTCAAGAAAATATGGGCAACTATGGGAAGTGCGGGGGAAGACGAACACCCCGAAAATCTTGGAACATATGGAGAATCCTGTTAGTTGTGTTTTTTTTAGCTGTGTGTGTCCCTGGGCCTCTTCAGCTTCCGCCCGCTCCCATCGGAGGAGGACTGCAGGCTGTTCATGGACTTCGACATTCGGGCCGGACGAAAGGGGGGGATTGGGAAAGGGGGCGGAACGAAATTTGCTGCATGCAGCCGGTTTCGGCCCCGCCGATGGGGTCCATTCCTCGATACGTGGCCGCCTCCCAGCGCCGGGAGGCGCCGGGAAAATCAGCTAATTACGTGAGCTGATTCTGAACCCCCCCCTTGGCTGTCCCCCCCCCTTTCGCCCGACCCGAGACGTGGCCGTGCTCGGCCGCCCATGGCCCGCCTACGAGGAGTACAGCCGCCAGATCCGGCGGGAGTACGCCCACGTGCCGGAGGCCCTGTACTGCAGGCCGCGGGCGCTCCTTCACGGGGGGGGGGCGCATCCGGGCCTCCCAGATGGAAGTCGGGCCTGTCCCTTTACAGGAGGAACATTCCAAAATAGTCAAGCCGTGTCATATGTTTTTTAGTGTTTGATATGTTTTGACTATTTTTGGGTATTGCTTGACTATTTGGAGCATGTTTTGGAGCATGTTTACCAGCCTGGAGCACGTCCCTATCCCTATGCTGGGCACCTCCTCAGCACGATGCCAATCTTAGGGATGCCCTTATTTCTTGAGGGCGGATCCCTAAGATTGTCGTCGCCTTCTGGCGTGTCCATCGTAGGGATAGGGATACGATCGAGGCTGGTAAATCCAGGCCTCCCAGATTGAAGTCGGGCCTGTCCCTTTACAGGAGGTATATATTCAATAATAGTCAAACCATGTCATATTTTCTGTTGTTTGTTGTTGTTGCTGCTAATTTTTGACTATTTTGGGGTATTGTTTGACTATTTGGAGCATGGTTTGGAGCATGTTTTGCGCATTGTGCAATAATTCGGCCAAAATCCCCCTGTAGGGGGACACGCCCGACTGAATCCTAGATGGGGTCGGAGTGGAGGGGGGTCGGAGGACCTCGCGGCATCGCCGATGCATCGGCGATGCGGCTCGATGTGGGGCCCAGTTTTCTCCACGCCGACCGATGCCTCGCCGACGCCGCCAGCGCATCGCTGATACATCGGCGATGCATCGCCGATGTATCGACCCTCCCCTCGTTCTCCCCTTTTTGGGCCTCCTGGGCCTCCGTCGTCGCCACCGCTGGATTCGGCACCCTTGGTGTCCCCCGGGGAAAAGCTTACGATTTTCCAATTCTTGTAACCTTGATCACCAGAAAGAGTGTCGAGCACCGAGAAAGTACCGAAGCCCCAGGGTTTTCACGTGTCTGGCCCTGGGAGGCGAGATTCGTTCGACATTTGTTCGATACTCTTCGACTTTTGTGCTCTTCTTTGTTCGGGATGTGGTCCTTAAGTTTAAGTCGGGCGTGTCCCTCTACAGGGGGAATTTCAAAAATAGTCCAACAATAGTCTGGGGACTATTTTTTTTTTTTTTGTATTTTTTTACTGTTTTGGAGCATGTTTTGCGCATTGTTAAATTTTTCGTCGAAAATCTCCCTGTAGGGGGACACGTCCGACTTAACTCTGAGTGCGATGTGAGCAACGTCAGGCAGGGCGAGGGGGTGAGGGGCCGCAAGGGCCGACCCCTGCGGCTCGGCCTCGATCGAAGACCAATCCGAGGCGATTCGGCTTCGGGTGCCGGTGCGGACTTTGGCGTCTCCGTGATCTCCTTGCCGGCCTGCCGATTTTCAAGGGAGTCGGGAGCCTCGAGACGGGGGTCAGTGCAAACGGGGGTCAGCCACGGCACCGGATCCTGCAGGATCCTGCGAAGACCCCCTCTGGCTGACCCGTGTTAGCGAGCCGCTCGTGGCCGCGAGGCGGCCGCACATATAGGCTGACCCGGGATTGTGAAGACCTGCGTTGCAGTTTTTTTATTTCTTGCATTGCAGTTTTTGGTGGTTTCCTGCTGACCCGGAGTGGACAATTGGCGTTGACCAAACGGCCCCAGGCGTTTCTTAAACAGCCCTGCCCCGCTTGATTCCTTCTGGGTGCGTTTGCGAAACGGCTTCGCGTGTCGGGGTGGTTATGATCGGGGGGGGTTTTCTGCCCTCTAGATTTCCGCCGATTCGGCCCACTTCGATCGGCGGTCGGACTCCTGGACTCGGTTCTGGCCTCTTGGACGCCCCCCGTGGCCCCCCAAGGAGGCCTCCGCGTAAGCCTCCCGCCCAGGGCAGGGGAGAGGCCAGGGGGGGGGCGTCGGAAATGGGTCGAACCGTCGGAAATGCGCGCGTGTTCTTCGGGTGGAGCGTGAAGTCTGAAATGCCGTTTCGATGGATCTTCGAGGTTTGAATCTGCAAAAGGTGAATCACAAGAGAATTGACGATGTGCAAAGCCCATATGGATTTCACCCTCCCTAAGAAAGTGCTCAGGAAATGCGCAGGCTGGTAATCATCAAGAGGAGAGAGAACCACCGCCAGCAGCTAGGGGGGCTGGCCGCTCCCCCTCCCCGAGCTGGTGGCGCCCCTTTCGGGGCGTTCCCCCGAAGGGTGCCCAGAGCGGAGTGCCGCCAGCTCGGGGGGGTGGTCCTCTGGAACGGAGTTCTAAGTATGTCTACGGGTTTCTTTCTGGTGGCAGTGGTAGGGCATCCATTTAGAAACCGCCCTGCCCCCCCCAGGAGTCCTCCGCGAAGGCCTCCCCCCCCGGGGCAGGAGGGGGCCCCATTGCCATGCCCCCCGCCGCCGCCTCGGTGAGGCCGCTGGCCGCCGCCGCTTCCGCCCTCGCCAGCCACGCGCCGAGGGGGGGGGGGGGGGCAGGGGGGAGGGGGGGGCTTCTTCGAGGCAGCCCGGGCTCTCGCTCACGAAATACTAATTTCGGGGGCGGCAAGGAGGGGGGTGATGACTAGTGGGGGGTGGATATCATGGCATGGGCCATGATATCTCCCCAGATTTCATGGTGCCTCTTCTGGCGCCTCTTCTTATTTCATTACGTCCCTGGGGTCCCCGCTGAGCGCACATGCCGCCGGTCATGATTTGCACCCCCCCCTCTTGGACACCCCCCTCTTGGCCGCTCCCGATAATTATGTGAGGCGATCGCAAACATGGATCAAGGGGGCGTGGATTAGCGATGGGTCCCGCTTTCGTGGGGAATCGCGGAGTTCCGCCGCCGAGCGAGGCGGCACAGGCCGCATTTTAGGGAGGGCACCTCCCTCGATCCATGGATTTGGCTACCGCGCGCCAAATCCATGGATCGCTAATGCATGTTTGCGCGCCCCCGATCCTCGAGGTAGCCTGGCTTTTCATTCACGAAATCTTATGGAAGAACAATCCTAGGGTTGCTTGTCCAAGCTAGGGGGGTGGTCCGGTGAGTTTTGTTTTCCAGATCCCCGCTGGGTTGTCCAAGGGGTCGCCCGGGTTGTCGTCATTGCTCAGCATGGGTTGTATGGGTTGCCTAGGGGGTTGTCCAGGGAATTTGTTTGATTGGGTTTTCCGATTGAATATCGTAGAAGCCGTATGTATAGATGTAGGGCCAGCGCTTTCTAAGAAGCAGCCTCCTTCTAAGAAGCGATCCCACCTCCACCTACCCTCTTGCGCGCGCCGCGAACCTTTTCGGAGAAGAGGGAGAACTAGCCTGGCGAAGGACCCAACCATGTGCAGCTGCGAGTGCCACGAGACATGCGGAAACGAAAGAGGGAGCTAGCAAAAGGACTTCATGCGTGCGTGGGAAGGACGGAGCGGCGTTGCTGATGTGGTCGCAGTGGTCGGCCGTAACCCCGTCACGGTCGATCTGCGAAACGTGTGAGGGGTGTGCCAACATGGGCGCGGTCACGCAGGCGAATCCTGCCACTGGGGCCTGCGGTGGAGGGAGAAGACGAAACACACGAAACCGACCACTACACGGGGAATAGACCCCCGAGCTCTGGCCAGTAAATTGTGGGAGCTCCGCGCTGCTTCCCTGGATGGGCGCTGTGGCCCCTGGCGGCGCCTCCGGCGCCGCCCCCGGCGCGCTTCAGACAGACAGACGCCATGCACAACTTAGGTGCGTTGGCAGAAGTTGTGAGACATACTAGACAATTGGGTGAAACGGCAAGCGTGCTCAGCATAGGAGGAGGAGGAGGAGGAGGAGGAGGAGGAGGAGGAGGAGGAGGAGGAGAAGGAAGGGGGCTGAACAGCGTCGATCCGAGGAGTCCGCGGGGAGCTGCGGGAGTCTGTGCCTCCGCACGCCTGTGCTTCTCCCGGCCTCCTCGCCCCTGCGCGCGCCGCCCCTGAGTTGGGCTCCAAAACGGGGCGAGAAGCTGGGGGCACCTTGGGCCAGGGGCACTTCTGGCAACACCCGATGAGTGGGCCACGGAGACGGCCAGCCGTGGCTGCGAGGCCACGGCCTTGCCCGCTCCGCCCTCGAGGGGCCTGGGCGGCTGCCCGTGCGAGCGTTCCAGTCCGTTGCGTTCCCTCTGCTTTGGACGCCCGAGCTGGGAGACTGCTTGGCATCGCTTGGACGTGTGCATGTTTCCTTCGGCGAGGACCATCGGGGAGCATCCTTGATCATTTCGCGAAAAAAACACGCACGAAACCAAAAAAAAAAAAACAACGAATGGACGTCCGAGCGATGGCCAGACTGTTGTCCAACAGCGCTGGGCAGTCGGCCTTGCGTATCGAATGGACAGCGTCTGCGGCGTCGCCGACATGATGTTGGCATTCGCACGCTTCGTTTTCGTACCTACCTCGACCGTACCGACCTGCCCTGCGCGCCGCCGCCCGTCAGGACAGCACAACCCACCCCCGCCCCCGGCCAGGTCCCCCACTCCCTGACCCGGTGATCCAGGGGGTCCTGGCAGGGGGTGGAGGTGTTCAGGGGGGCTCTTGGGGGCCAAGATGCCGTCCTCACCCCAGCCAGGCCCCCCTTGGATCACCAGGTCGCGACTGGAGATCCTCCCTGGGGGTGGGGGGAGAAGTGTGCCGAGAGAGCGGAGACAGCCACTGACTCGGGCCCTTGGCCTTTTTGATGCTCTGCGCCCACCGCTCGGCTACTTGCTGGGACGTGGCCCTGGACGCTCCGCGCTCTCCGCGCCTCCGCCCCGCTCCCGCGGCGCGAGCGCTCTGCCCCGAGCCGCGCTCGGCCCTGCGCGCCACCGCCCCCGGGGCCCGCGCGGCGCGGCGTCGCCCGCGGCGCTCTCGGCTCGTCCGGAGGCGTTGCGCCTCACGGGTCAGAGCAGGAAAAAACATATAAACACAAAGGGTTTTATTGGTTTTACGCCGGAAGGGGGCGTCGTTGAGAGGGTGCTTGGCACGGATGCGGGGATCGGTGTGGCGTCGGTCTGTGGCGTCGCCTGCGGCGCTCCCGGCTCGTCCGGAGGCGTGGCGCCTCGAGGGCCCCGCGCCCATCGCCCCGTGCTCGCCCAGGGAGAAACGAACGAAGGGGCCCCAGGACACACAAATAGATACACACACATAAAGATAGTCCCCATGTTTTCCCATATGTTCTGGGTTTCTGTCTTTCCCCCCACTTCCCATGTTTTCTCGTATTCTCCGGGGAATCGAGGATGCATTGTGTCTGTGTGTGTGTGTGTGCGTGCGTGCGTGCGTGCGTGCGTGCGTGCGTGCGTGCGTGCGTGCGTCCGTGCGTGCGTGCGTGCGTGCGTGCGTGCGTGCGTGCGTGCGTGCGTGCGTGCGTGCGTGCGTGCGTGCGTGCGTGCGTGCGTGCGTGCGTGCGTGCGTGCGTGCGTGCGTGCGTGCGTGCGTGCGTGCGTGCGTGCGTGCGTGCGTGCGTGCGTGCGTGCGTGCGTGCGTGCGTG